CCTCGGAAGGCGGAGGCGGAAGGATCGCCGGAGCCCGGCGGGTCGAGGCTGCGGTGGCCGCGAGCGGCCGCTGCGCTCCAGTCTGGGCGACCGAGTGAGACTTCAGCTAAAAAAAAAAAAATGTGTTATGTGGATAGACTATTTGGAATTCCTCCTAATGCTTAGCATTTCAGCCCACCAAGGGTCAATGAAGCTTTCAAAGGTGTCAACTTTATTCCCAGGACTTGCTTTACACATTGATTATTTTTTCTAAACATTCAAAGTTTCTATCCAGGTTTTCCTAACATTTTTTTTCCTAACTTTTTTTAGTTTGATAAACAAGGACATCGAACCTTTTCAATGGATCTTGGATATATGTGTAAATGCATATTAATGCAAGTTGGCCTTAATTTAATTTTTAATTAAACATTATGTGATGCTTTTGGAAAAGAGATCATTATAAATAATGACCTTACAAATTAGTGTTTTAGACTGATAAGTTTTCGACATTGGCTTTAGAGACATATTAATTTTGTAATTAAGAAAAAAATAGTGTTACCTCACAAAATGAAAGCTTATTTGTGTTGCCTACTGGAGCTAAATGGTCATATCAAGGCCCTTAGTGAAACTAAAACTGCTTATTCAATAAAATAAATCTATAACTCATCCATTTTTGTTTGCATCTGAAAGTGTCAAGTTTTAGCTTTGTGCTTTGTAATAAAATAAGCATACACTACTGGTTTGAGAATGAAATCTATTTTCATAATTAATTCAATAAAATACTGTTTAAGTTGGTGTATTTGTATACATGATGTAAACCTCCTTTTAAAATCATTTGTCCTCGTAAGAATGTGCAACACACATGACAGCTATTTGGCAAACATTTCTAACCATGACACCTCTGATCTGGCAATGGTTCTTGAGCTGTAATCACCAAACATCAATCTACCTTTGCCTCTGTCAGGCTCAAGAGCTGCTGAGTTGTGGTAAAACCAAAACAGAAATTTCAAGTCTATGGAAGTATACATTCTGTTAACCAGAGTGAGTACTCATTATATATCTTGTTATTTGGGACATAATATTTTTGCATTCATTCAAAGAAGACATAATTTAACTTGAAATTTCTTTTTAATTGAGAAAAAAAGTTTGACCTGCTAAAGCAATAAAACATTCCAAACAAGCACTATTTGTAAGGTAATGAATCTTATCTTTGAATTTACTTTGTGGAGTAAAAACTGCTTCCTTTTGTTGTTGCTGTTCAGTGTTTTCTTTAAATTTTAGATTCAAGAAGTACATGTACATGTTTTTTACATGGGTATATTGAGTCATGGTGAGGTTTGGGCTTCTCTTGAATCCATCATTCAAATAGTGAGCATGGTATCCAATAGGGAGGTTTTCTACACTTGTTCCTCTCTCTGCCTTCCCCTTTTAGGAGTCCTCTTTGTGTGTTCCCATCCTTATTCCCCTGTGCACCCAGTGTTTAGCTCGCACTTAGAGAATGTGCAATATTCAATTTTGTGTTTCTGTGCTAATTTACTTAGAATAATGGCTTCCAACCGCATCCGCATTGCTGCAAAGGATGTGATTTCATTCTTCTTTATGGCTGCTTAGCAATCCATGGTGTATGTACCACATATATTTCTATGAGCTCAATTTTTAGATCCCTTAATTCAGTGGCAATATATAGCTTTTATCGTTCTGTGGCTGGCTTATTTCACTTCCCATAATGGCCCCCAGGTTCATTCATGTAGCCACAAATGACAAGAGTTCATTTTCTTTATTTCTGAATAGTATTTCATTGTGTGTGTATGTATATAACACACCCATACGCACACACATATCACATTTTCTTTATCCATTCATGTGTTGGTGGACATCTAAATGGATTCATATCTTGGCTAATGTGAATAGTATTGCAATAAACATGGGAGTGCAGATATCTCTTAAATATACTGATTCCCTTTCTTTAGGATAAATACAAGGGGGGACCCAAAAATCCCAGAATTTATTTATAAAACATTGTGTATTTATTCTTACATGTTTAAACTTCAGTCACCTTCAAAGTACTTTCCATTTGATTCAATACGTCTATTGAGACATTTTTTTCCCTTGAAAACAGTTTTTGAACTCACCAATTTTGATGCCTGTTAGTATTTCTGTCATTTGTTTCATCTCTTCCACATCAGCAAAATGTTTCCCTTTGAAAACTTTTTTTCATCTGGGGAAACAAACAGACAAAGTCACTCAAGGAGAGATCCAGTAAATAGGGAGGGTGAGCCCTGGGGGTCATACCATTTTTGGGCAAAACCTGCTGAACACTCAGCACAGTGTTGACAGGTGCAGTTTAAATCACCCATCATGAAGTGGGCAAGTGCGTTGAAAGAAGCTCCAAATTAAAAAAAAAAAATTCACTGATGCCAAATGTAGCCTTTCACAACTCTAGCTGGTCACAGATGCTGATGGGTTCCTAGAACACTTACCTAGTGGGGGAAGCCTGTACTCCATACTATTTTCCATCATGTCTGCACTAATTTACACCCCCACCAACAGTGTATAAGAGTTCCCTTTCCTCTGCAACCTTGCCAGCATTTTCTTTTCTTTTCTTTTGGCCTTTTTGATAATAACCATTCTAATTAGGTGAGATTATCTCATTGGTAGTTTGATTTTCATTTCCTTGATGATTAGTGATGTTGTGATTTGAGCACTTCTTCATAAATTTGTTGGCTATTTGTGAGTCTTATTTTGAGATGTGTTTATTCTCAGATCCTTTGCCCATTTATTATTTATTTTATTTGTTTGTTTGTTTTAAGTATGTGGGGTACAATTCAGGGTTAGGTACATTAAGTGCTCATCGTACAGGTGAAGTTTGGGTCTCCCATTGATTCTCACCTCACCCGGTTTGGGACCAGGTACCCTTATTGATATTATGTGTCCCCACCCCCGGCAGTATCCCACTACTGCCAATCCCTTTCTTGTAGTATTATGATAAATGCTCAGGATACACCTATGAATAAGAACATGTGGTACTCAGTTCTCTGTTTCTGTGATACACACTGACTATGATAGACTCTAAATCCATCCAAGTTGCTGTGAAGTCCATAATTGTGTTGTTCTTTATGGCAGCATAATATTCCATCATGTATATGTACCACATTTTTTTCATCCAGTCCACTTTTGATGGGCAGCACAGTTGATTCCACACTTTTACTATTGTGAATATCTTTTACCCACTTTTTACTGTTGAGTTGTTTGAGTTCCTTATATATTCTGCATATTAATCACTTATCAGATGAGTGTTTTGCAAATATTTTCTTTCATTCAACAACTTGTCTCATTCTGTGGACTGTTTTTTTGCTGTGCAGATTTTGGGTTTAATATAAACCCATTTATCTATTTTTGCTTTTGTTGCCCGGCTTTTGAAGTCTTATCCACAAAATCTTTATCTACATCAATGTTCTGAAGCATTTCCTTGTGTTTTCTTCTAATAGTCTTATAGTTTAGGGTTTCACATTGAAGTCTTTAATCCATTTTTATTTGATTTATTTTATATGGTGAGAGATAGAGGTCTTGTTTCATTCTTCTACATGTGGATATGCTGTTTCCAGAAACATTTAGCTAGTTACTTATGGGTGTGGAGAAACATTGCTGATTTTTGAATGTCCATTTTGTATCCTGCAACTTTACTGAATTCGTTTATCAGTTCTAAGAGTTTTCTATGGCATGTTTATGTTTTTGTACGTATAAGATCATGTTCCATGCAGAGTGACAATTTGACTATCCCTTTTCCAATGTGCATATCTTTTATCTCTTTTTCTTGCTTAATTGCTCTGGCTAGGACCTCAAGCATTATATTGAGGAAGAGTGATGGAAGTGAGCATCCTTGTCTTGTCACAGCTCTAAGAGAAAAAGCTTTCAGTTTTTCCCCATTCAGTATGATGTTAGCTGTGGGTTTGTCATATATGGCCTCTTTTGTTTTGAGGTATGTTCCTTCTATACCTAATTTGTTGCGAGTTTTAGTCATGAAGGGATGTTGAACTTTGTCAAATGCTTTTTCTGCATCTATTGAGATGATCATATGGTTTTTGACCTTCACTCTGTTGATGCAATATATCACATTTATTGACTGCATATGTTAAAACATTTTGGCATCCCTGAGATAAATCCCACTGAATCGTGCTGTATAATCTTTTCGATGTGCTGCTAAATTCAGTTTGTTAGAATGTCGTTGAGGAATTTTGTATCTATGTTCATCAAGGATATTGGCTCATAGTTTTCTGTTGTATCTTCATTTGGTTTTGGTGTCAAATTAATGCTGGCCTTATAGAATGAGTTAGGAAGAATTACCTTCTTTTCAATTTTCTGGAATAGTTTGCAAAGAATTGGTGTAAGTTTTTCTTTATAAGTTTTGTGGCATTCAACAGTGAAATCATTGTATTCTGCTCTTTTCTTTGTTGAGATTCTTATTATTATGGATTAATTATTATTATTCATTATAAGTTAGTTTAGATTTTCTATTTCCCCCAGATTCACACTTGGTAGGTTGTATGCATCCAAGAATTTATACTTTCTCTAAGTTTTTCCATTTGATGTGTAGTTTTTTCATAATAGTCTCTCATGAGTCTTATTTATATCTGTGGTATCAGTTGTAATGTCTCCTATTTTGATTCCAATTTTATTTATTTGATTTGTCTCTTTATCCTTAAAAAAAACTTTATGTTTTATTGATCTCTTCTGTTGTCTTTTGAGGAGTCTTTATTTTGTTTAATTATTCTCTGATTTTTATTATTTTTTTCCATCTATTAGTTCTGGGTTTTTTATACTT